AGACTGTCTTTTTTCCATTGGACATTCTTTCCTGCTTTGTCAAAGATAAGTTGACCGTAGAGTTGAGGGTCCATTCTGGGCTCTCGATTCTGTTCCATTGATCTATGTGTCTGTTTTTGTGCCAGTACCATACTGTCTTGATGATGACAGCTTTGTAATAGAGCTGGAAGTCCGGAATTGTGATGCCGCCAGCTTTGCTTTTCTTTTTCAATATTCCTCTGGCTATTCGGGGTCTCTTCTGGTACCATATGAATTTTAGGATTATTTGTTCCATTTCTTTGAAAAAGGTGGATGGTATTTTGATGGGGATTGCATTGAATGTGTAGATTGCTCTAGGTAGCATTGACATCTTCACAATGTTTGTTCTTCCAATCCATGAGCATGGAACGTTTTTCCATTTCTTTGTGTCTTCTTCAATTTCTTTCATGAGTATTTTATAGTTTTCTGAGTACAGGTCCTTTGCCTCTTTGGTTAAATTTATTCCTAGGTATGGAAACATTGACCTTCTTGATGGGGTGCTGGTAGGGTTTGGCTCCAAAAAAAGATGGGCCAGGCCTTCTGTGGGATTGCGCAAATCTTCTAACATTTCCATTTGGTGAAGGTGGCACCTAGCCCATCACCATTGACCATGACCTCTTCTCGGTCTGGTCACCTGGATGCTGGAAGCAATGCCATTGGGGTCTTCTGCTTCCAGCTGGCTCAGGTGCTTGAGAGGACTTTCTTCTCTCTTCTTGACAACGGCTGGCTCCATGTTGCCCCTGTTGGGTTATGATCTCAGCTTAGCTGATTACTATCTTCTGAGAGTCCTTGAACTAAATCTGTGAAGAACCATCAATTCAGCCACATGCCCATTTTGGGGAGTAGGTGCTATGGTCCTGGTGTCTTAGGAGGCTTAGCACTTAGTCTCTACCCTTGAAGAGCTAGAGTCAAATCATGGAGAGAAGGGCTATGCCCGTGAAACAGAAGTATCTGATGCCGTAACTACAAAAAATACAATGCCCACAAATCCTGAGGTTTTGACCTAAGGCAGGGGTGATGGTGGTGGTTTGGATCTATGGACAAGTATATGTGCAGGCAGGGCGTTCACAATTCTCAAGGACTCCCTCCTGGGTGATTCCTATTTGATGTCTCTTGCCTGTTAGATACCCACAGTTTAATATGATTAAGACCAGACTTTTTATTCTTCTCCCCATGGTCTCAACCAAGACCTACTTAAGCCTTCTTCCAGTTCTGGAACATGGTACCATGGCCCAGCCACTTGGCCAGAAAGCTAGCAGTGTCTTTTGACTGCACTCTCTCTCCCATCCCCCCTGTTAATACTTCACCCTATGGATCATCCATACAGACGTCCCACAGGTCATTCCTCTTACGCATGTCTGCAATCCGCCCACCTCTGCCTATTTGCATTATTGTGCTGGTCCAAGCCACCACCATGTCTCATCTTGAAGGCAGCGGCCCTCTAAATGGTTTCTGCACTTCCATTTCTGCCTACCTAAAATCCACTCTCCATGTGATCTTTTTTTTCTTTAAAGATGGGGTGGGTCATGCCACTCACGTGCTTCGACTCCTTCAATGGCTTCCCATTGCAATGAGAAAAATAACCCAAGCTTCTTGCCTAAGAGACCCTGTTTGATCTGGCCCCTGATAACCTCTTGGACCTCATCTGGGACCAGTCTCCCTAGCTTGCTGTTTTCACTTCCTCAAAGAAGTCAGGCTCCTTCCCTATCCTTTGACTATGCTCTTCCTTGTGTCTAAAGCCCTCTTTCACGTGTTTGACTCCTGTGTGGGATCCTCACTGTCCTTACGGCTTCAGGGAGACATTTCAAGACCACCCTATTGGAGGAGGATACTGATCATTCTTTAATCTTGGCATCCTGCATTTCCTTCCTATTGTTTTGTTTCCTTTCTTATGGAGGTATACCATGTATACAATAAAGTACCAGAAACACAGTAGTTTTAATGTATGAGTCAATGATTTTGACATATGCATACATATATGCACATTCCTATCATATCTCCAGCTCCCTGGTGGCCCTCATGTTTGTTGTTACTTATCTGCTTTGCAAAGGGCAATAACCTGATCACACACCATTAGGGCACAATCCCAAGGAATCAGATCCTGACTGCTGGCTGGGTGTAGAAGTTCATATAACCCCTTTGAGGGGCAATGTCGGAGTATCTGTTAAGTTTTAAAATGTATGTACCCATTGAGGTAACAATTGGTCTTTCAGAAATTGATCCTACAGATACACTCTCACCTATGCGTGAAGGTCAGTGTACCAGCAATGTTTATAGGGAGAAAATATTGGAAACGCCCCAAGTGTTGCTTCGCAGGGGGCAGGTTATGGAAACTATGGTTTGTTTACACAAGAGAATACTATGGTAGCTGGGAACAAGAACATGCAGTGTTGTGGGAAAATCCTCAAGCTACATCAAATGGAAAAAGACACAGGATGATGCAGATGGGATCCTCTCTTTTGAATAAAAGGAGGCTGTGTTTAGCTGCCCATGCTTGCATACAGATCTGGTTCACCCAAGAAACTAGTTACAATTATTCTCTGCGGAGGAGAATTCAGTCGTCTTGGGTGGGAAGCAAAGGTTTCCTATGTTAACTTTTTGAACGGTTCAATTTTTTTCCCCTCCTATGCATATGTAATGCCTTTTCAAAAAAAAATAGGAAAAATAAAGTCTTTGGACTCCGAGGGAAAATGTGCAGTGTGCTGGGCGAACAGGCTCCAACAGGCCGGGACTGGGCTGGGAGGATAATTTGGTCTGACTCGGTCTTCGGCACAGAGGGGACGGGCTGGCTTAGAACTTCGCTTTCCGGGGATCCTCCAGGGGTCTTTCGGGAGAGAGCTGTTGTCCCCAGGTGCAGTGGAAGCCAGCGGATGTTCTGTTAGGGAACGCAGGCGCCACCTTCCTGTCCTGCAGCCTGCGGTGGCAGGGGCTCCCACTCCTGTCTTCCGCAACTCCTCTCGCCTCCCGTCTCACATGGAGGCTCAGTGAGCCTGTGGATAACCAAGGAAATGTCCTTTTTCGGATTCCTAAGACCTGTTGGTTTGTTTTCGTTTTTTAAATCGAGAGAGCCTTAGAACAAAAATGTGCTCCAACAGGCAACCGGCTGTCCCTCTACGAGGCCCTCAGGGATCTTAGGTAGGATGGTGGGTTTGGGAGTGGGCCAGAGTTGGGTTTGGGTCACAGCACAACCCGTTAGCAGCTGTGCATCCTCGGGCAAGTGAGGAGACTGCTCTGTGCCTCCGTTTCCCTGTTGGTAAACTGGGATCAGAATTCCTGCCCGGGTCAGGTCAGAAACGGGATAACGTCTGTCCACCTGCTTTGTGAAGGCAAAGGTCATTTGTATTACAGAGTGTATGAGTTTCCTGGGGCTGCCATAACAAAGGTCCACAAACTTGGGGGCTTAAAACAGCAGAAATGTCTTCTGTCCCCGTTCTGGAGGCTGGAAGTCTGAAATCAAGGTGTCAGCAGGGCTGGGCGCGCTCTAGGGAGGCTCCAGGGCAGAATCCTTCATTGTCTCTTCCAGTTTCCAGGGGCTCCCAGGGTTCCTTGTGGCTGCGCCCTTCAACCCCACCTTTGTCTGGAGACCTTCTCTTCTCTCTGTGCTTTTCTCTCCTATCTGGATCCTGGCTACTGGATTCAAGGCCCACGAAGATGATCCAAGATGATCTCATCTCAAGGTCTTTAACTTAATTACATCTGCAAAAACCCCTTTTCCGAGGAACGACGGAAGCCTGTGTCTCTCTTTTTCTCTCCCGACACCCTGTCTGCCTCCTGCCCGGCCTCCTAATCAAAGCAACACCAACCTGACTTCGAGGGCTCAGCCCTGGGAGGAGGCTCAGCGCCGAGACACCGTCTGGTAAACGCAAACCATTGCATTCACGCCCATTTGAAAACTGAATGAGGGCTGCAGCCTAGTTAACAGCATTTTACCAGGGCCCCTTTTTGGCTTTTGCTGTGGTGTGACAGTTATAAGTTGCCACCACTGGGGGAAGCTGGGCAACGGGTTCAAGGCTCTCCCTGTGCCCCGTGCTGTTATTACTGTTATTATTATGGAACTTCTGGTGAGCCTATAGTAATTTCCAAAGAAAAAGCCGAAAAACCAAACAACTTCATAAATACTTGAAAACTCTGCCAGAAAAAATAGCCCCTATGGGCATTTCTGGAAGGTAGAAGAAGGCTATCCCTACAACTCCCAGCCCAACGTGGGCTGAATGAATCCTCCCAGGGCAGCCTGGGAACCCCATCCCCACGGGCTGTTGGGAAGTAGCCCTGTCTGGCCTGGTCCCTCCCCCTCCCAGGCCTTCTGGGAGCCTGTCCTGGTCAGCCTCCTCCCTTGGAAGGGGGTCCCGCAGGGGCCTCCCGAAGCCTCCCCAGGCCGGGGCTGGTCCAGGTTGCAGACACATGGCTGGGCTGTCCCAGCGCCACCCTGCCCTGAGGCCCAGGCCGGGCCCCATTGTGGCTGCCGCCTGCACACAGCTCCGGCTCCTATGGGCCTCTCTCCTGTGCTTTCCTGGCAGCCCTACGGCCTCAGTGACCCCTGAGTCAGATGCTCTGGGCTCCTAGGAGGTGCTCCTCTGGCTCAGAGCCAGTCCGCCTCACCCTGCCTCAGGTTGTCATCTGACGCGTCCTCCTCCGGGGCAGGCTGCTCCGTGCCTTCTCTGTCCCCTGGCACACTCCGGCTTCTACTAGTCTGGGCAAGTTGGACGCACCTTCCCTGGGCCACTTTTCTGGTTCTTTCTCGACTCCCTCCTCACCTGGGTGGAGGCTGCAGGCGAGGTCTACACAGTGTGGCCTGGTGGTTGGTGTCCCAAGGGTTATACGTTTGGAGTCCATGGATGGGCTTTGGGGTCTCTGGGGACCCACTGACCTTGTGTACAAAATGTATAAACATTTTTCTGGGACAGAAACTGATTCTCAGAAGGTTCCAAGACCCACAAATCATTACGAGCTTCTGAGGACGAGAAGGGGCTGTGACTTAGCTGTGAGGCATTTTGTTTCGGGCATCAGCCTGCCTGGACTATGATACCGTCTCTATCGAGGGAGCCCACCCCCGGGCCTCGGCTTCCTCCCGTGTAAGGCGAAGCAAATGGTGGCATCTATGTATTTGCCTGCTGTCAGGAGTCAGTGGGAAAGTCATGGCAAGTAGCCAGTAGGGACCCAACGGAGATCAGCTGTTGTCATCACCCGCCTTGAGCGTCTATTACTTCACCCCATGCTGACAACCACCGTGTGAGACAGGGGTTATCAACCTCCTTTCAAAGACTTCGTTTGCCCAACCTCACACACACTCTAAAAGACAGGGCTGGGATTCAAACCCACAGTCTCTTACCTTTCTGCCCTACTTTGCTGTTGCTCATTACGGAGAATGAGAGGAGAACAAAAGTGATGGAGTGTGAGAGTTGGGTAAATAGGCCACTGGATGACAGAAAGGAGTGGTCTTCACATTCCAGGACCTGCCTGACCTCCGGGAACGCTGAGCTCAGGCTGCTCAGCCTAGAGCCACTGGCTTCCATTAAGACACCTCAGGTTTGTGGTCTTGCTTTTTGAAGAGCATCTGAGAGTTGCCAGGCTGGGCCTCGTCAACTCCCAGCCCTTCCAGAAGTGAATGGAGGTGCCTGTTTGAAAGATAAAAAGATGAGATTCCAGATGATTCCAAAGTAGCTGAGCATGACCTCAGATAATGGCTCAAAAATTCTATATTCTGAGCCTCAACAAAGGGCAGGGCCTTCCCTAGGTGTGCACATGGAAATGCTCACTAGGAGGGGAATCCTCCCAAGAAGGGTTTTTTTTTTTTGACTGGGAAGGTAGTTCCACATTGGGTGTTACTGGTTTTCCAATTAAAAGCTGCACCCAAAGGTCCATGTCCAAACCTGCACTCATGATTCTACCCCCCAGTCCCACTACCAATGCCTGGCTCATTTCAGAAAATGGCAGCACCACCACTCAGAAACCTGGGAGTCGATCTGACCCTGCCTGTCCCTCAGGACCCCAAAACAAACCCATCACTAAGTTCTGTCCATTTTACCCTTAAAACATCTCCTAAATCTATCCACTTGTCTCAGCCACCACTGGGTCCCTCACCATCCGTCCCCACAAAACCATTTTCATAGCTCTCAACTGATTTCTCTCATCAATCTCCTTTCTTCATACTCCCTAGACACTAACTATCCCAAGTTGGAGTAATCTTGAAAAAATGCCTATCTGGTTAAGTTACCCCTCTGTTTAAAAATCTTTTAATGTTCTTGAATGACACACCTAAGATTCATGGCTTCACGTCATGGAAATGTTCCTTGAGAATTGTGTACAATTATTGAACTCCAATTAATGACATGCATGCAATATTTGGATAAATTGTTCATGTAAGTGACTCCATGTACCATGAAATGTGTCAAAAAATAAGATGGATGGATGGGTGGACAGAAGGATGGCTTGATGGACAATAAGTTAAAAAGCAAATGTAGCAAAATGCTAATTGTAGAATCTAGGTAGTGGGCCTATGAGGATTCATTGTGCAACTCGGACTATGTTTTTCTATAAAAAATTTCATAATAAAATGTTGGGAAAAATTTCTTTAGCAGATACTGTTACACCAGAATTACTTCACCTTGGTCCCTAGGACCCTGTGCAATCTCCTTGTCCTCTATGGATACATCTTCTACTAATCTCTCTCTAAGACTTCTTGTGCTCCAGACACAGGGCTTGTCTTTCAGTTTTTAAATGTAATATCTCCTCCTATTTTAGAGTGTCCCTAGCTCTAATCACAATTCCAACACAGTCAATTGTGTGATTATAGGTTGAACTATATGAAGTGTCATTTCTGTAGGTGAGTTAATCAAATGTTAGCAATTTCATACGACTCAGACAAATGACTGTTTGATGACCACTCCGCCCTGGACTCTAAGCTCTGTAAGGTATATAGTGCCTAGCAATGTCTGGCAAATGGTAGAAACTCAAAATTTTCTTTTGAAATTTAATTAGACTGGTTAATTAATTGAGAGACAGCCACTTATGATTTTACCATCTACTTTCTTGACTGTACGTATTCTTAAGTGTTGAGAGTTGCATAAGTGTTCAGAATTACACACCTTTCTCTGACTTAAGCCAATCCTTTGTTTATAAAAGGGAAGTAAAGAATTCTCTCCCCAAATCTAGGTATTTCAACAAAGCATCTTGCCTTCCCCAATTCTCCTGTCAACTAGGTCTGAGTTGTAGTTTTGGTTTTCACAAACATGGCCAGAGTGGAGCACTGATGACCGTCAGGGTTCAGACATGCGCAAGGCATGTCCCACAACTGGGAGAGAGAGAGGAGGTTTTTACTGAATCCCAGATGGGCCTATCTTAATAGCTGTTAATGAGCACAGTGTTACCTCTCTGATTCTGTTTCCCCATGGGTAAATTTACACAGCTCCACTTTCCAGAATTGTGACAGCTAAATAAAGTAATATGGGAAGAGTCAGCATAGAAGAACCACAAGGACATTGTGTGCTTTTGTTTTCTTGTGACCCTCTTCCATTTACTGTAGTCATGAGTGAGCAAGAAGGCAGCTTTGGCCCTGAGGGTGAGGCTGAGGTTGCATAGGCTGAGATGCAGCGCTGTTGGCTCACCTTGTATCCTTAGCCCAGACGTTCTGATGTTCCAGTTACTGTCAGGGAAACCGGGTAAGGGGAACTGGGTACACAGGACACTGCATTCTTGGAAATGGAGAGACTCAAAGACTCAGGCCAAGGGGCATGTGAGTCCATTTAGTAGAGTTTGGGCTTTTTACTGTAGGCTACAGATGGATCTAAGTGTCCCATCAGCAAACACAGGATTTACCCCACACAAAGGTCTGGATAAATGATTGTTCGAAGTATGAAGAAACAAACAAGAAAACTCTTTGGTGATGTGATGATACATTTATTGGACTAAAATTAGTGCCATCTTCTTCAGAGTATATACTTCAGCTACTCGATACATTATTAGACAATCTAAAATTGGAATCTTTTGTTCTAAACACAAGCAGCCTCATGAATTGATTAGAGAAGCAAATTTCAAACAAAGCAAAAAATAATTGCGGAAACGTCCCACTTTTGTCAATGGGAGATAATGGCCTTACTGGAGGACTATTTGGAGCAGAGGTTCTTGAACTTGATTGTGCCTTAGAAACACCTGGGGATCAGCATCTCTTATGGGTTGCCTCCCTCTCAATTTTCATCTTATATTATTTTTCCTTCCCTTCTCCTATGTTCGTCTGTTTTGTTTCTTAAGTTTCACATACGAGTGTGATCATATGGTATCTGTCTTTCTCTGACTGACTTATTTGGCTTAGCTGATATCCTCTAGTTCCATCCACATTGTTGCAAATGGCGAGATTTCATTCTTTTTGATGGCTGAGTAATATTCCTATATATATATTTATATATTCTTTATCCATTCATCCAGGAAACAAGCTGAGGGGTGCTGGAGGGGAGGTGGGTGGGGGGATGGGGTAACTGGGTGATGGGCATTAAGGAGGGCATGTGATGTAATGAGCACTGGGTGTTATATGCAACTGATGAATCACTAAATTCTACCTCTGAAACTAATAAAAATAAAATAAAATAAAATGTACACAATTCAGGTACTGAACTTAAAAAAAAAGAAAGGAAATGCTTGGGAGCTTGTTAAATCCTGCCATGCCTGGGCTCCACCCCTAAAGGAGTCAAATTCTGAAGGTCTTGGGTGTGGCCTTTGACTATCCATGTTTATCAACCTCCCTTGGTGATTCAAATAAAAATAGCCCAGGGACTACAATTTGGGAACAACTGGCTGAGTGGTTGTAATAGTCAGAATAATGACCCTCCAAAGACACCCATGTGCCAAACTCAGGAACCTGTGAAAATGTTGCTTTACATGGTAAAGGGAATTAAGGTTGAGGATACAATTAAGGTTGCTAATGAGCTGACCTTGAGATGGGGAGATTATCCTGGATTACCTGGGTGAGTCCAATTTTATTACATGTGTGCTTAAAAAATGGAGATGCTTTCCTGGCTGTGGTCAGGGAGGGATGGGAAAAGGGAAGAGGTGTCACAGAAATGTGATATTATTTATTTATTTTTAATGTTTAAAAAAGATTGTATTTATTTATTTTAGAGAGAGAGAGAGCACAAGCAAGGAAAGGGGCAAAGGGAGAAGGAGAATGAGAAGCCCAGGCAGACTCTGCGCTGAGTGAGGTGCCTGACACGGGGCTTGATCCCCGGACCCTGAGATCGTGATCTGAGGCGAAATCAAGAGTTGGACAAGCCTTAATCGACTGAGCCACCCAGGTAGCCCAACATTACTAGTTTTGAAGACAAATTAAGTGTCTCATGAGACACAGAAGATGGGTGGCCTCCAGAAGCTGGAAAAGAGAAGGGAATGGATTCTCCCATAGAGCTTCTAGAATGGATCACAACCCAACTGACACCTTGACTGTAGCCCAGTGAGACCTGTGTTGGACTTCTAACCTATAGAACTATATGTGTGATGTTCAATTTGAGTTGTTTTAAGTCACTAAGTTTGAGGTTGTTTCAATAGCAATAGAGAACTAATGCAGCGGTCTTCTGGTTTGGTTGTTTCTTTTCTTTTTCTTTTCCTTCTTTCCCTTTCCATGCCTTTCTTTCTCCTTCTCTTCCCTCCCCCAACCCCACCCCAGTCTCCTCTTCCTCCACCTCCTCCTTTTTTTTTTCTTTTTTTTTTTTGTTAGTTGTGCTCTGCTGAGCTCCAGGGATCTTGTTACACAGTGCATTGATGTAGTAATCCTCAGTTCCTCCCAGAGGATGGGTCACTCGTGTTTACTGGGGGCAGCTTTATGGTTTCTGCAGACCTCGAAGGCAGCATCAGAGTGGTTTTTGTCTCTCACTCACCGGTCAGTCCAAGCATGTAAGGCAATTTCTTCTCCACCTGCTGGCAAGCAAAGAGTGAGTGGAGAAGGCAGCTATTGCCTAACTTCAGGCAGCAGAAAAGTCATTCCTTACTGGTTGGAGTCATCGTTGGGCAGGGATATTCAATCTTTTTTTTTTTAAATTTTTTATTGTTATGTTAATCACCATATATTACATCATTTGTTTGGTGTAGTGTTCCATGATTCATTGTTTGTGCATAACACCCAGTGCTCCACGCAGAACGTGCCCTCTTTAATACCCATCACCAGGCTAACCCATCCCCCCACCCCCCTCCCCTCTAGAACCCTCAGTTTGTTTTTCAGAGTCCATCATCTCTCCTGGTTCGTCTCCCCCTCTGACTTACTCCCCTTCATTCTTCCTCTCCTGCTATCTTCTTCTTTTTCTTTTTTCTTAAAATATGTTGCGTTATTTGTTTCAGAAGTACAGATCTGTGATTCAACAGTCTTGCACAATTCACAGCACTCACCATAGCACATACCCTCCCCAATGTCTATCACCCAGCCACCCCATCCCTCCCACTCCCACCACTCCAGCAAACCTCAGTTTGTTCCTGAGATTAAGAATTCCTCATATCAGTGAGGTCATATGATACATGTCTTTCTCTGATTGACTTATTTCACTCAGCATAACACCCTCCAGTTCCATCCACGTCGTTGCAAATGGCAAGATCTCATTCCTTTGGATGGCTGCATAATATTCCATTGTGTATATA